TATAATATACCATCAGAATATTTTTAAAATTGTAAACCATTATTATTATGTTACCCTGGAGTATAAACTAAACACCATTCCCTATTATCATTATAATCATCAAAACACAAAACAATTACTATAAATTAAAATTATTTGGTATAAGTAGGTAAAGTGTATTGTACATAGACTCAGTTGTCATGTTCCACTCATGTAGATATGTTAAACAAATTTTTTAAATGTTCCCCATTTTAACTTTTTATACATTACTACATAATATAGAACACCTTATATCCATGTTGTGAACTTTGTGGTGCGTAGTCTGTACGTCTGTACCTTCATCAAATGTTTAAATGTATATATAAGGAATATTATAGTTTATTTCATTGTAATAATACAATTCGTTCAGAAACCGGGAATTTAGCACACTCACAGAATGAACATTAGTTAATTGTTTAACTTTTGTTATGATGGCTTACTTGCATTATATTTAAAGTATAAACAGACAATTTTCGATTGCTTTTACCTTTGTTAGTTTTAATATTAGAGACAACCGACCTACCATTAAATGTAAAGGTAACAACATTATATACCTATATGTAGGTACACTAAAACGATTTTTCAACATATTTTCCTGAAAATCAGTTATAAGGTTGTAGAATATTATGTGAATATAATAAAAAAATATTAATATAACTAAACATTTCATAAAAAAAATATTTAATTTTGTTCATAACTCACGTCAAAATAAAAATGAAGTCCCTGAAAGAACACGGATAATATTATTTTCTGTACATTTTACCATAGGTCGATTCATTCTTGTACCTATTTAAACTAACAAAACTAAACGTGAACCGTTGAACAAAGACTTTTGAAGTTATGTGCTTGTAAGATGGATACTACAACCGCAGATGTGACCCGTACTCATAATTTGTATTTGTTTTTCAATTCGTTATAACTTATAAGTTATCTGCCGATAAGCGGTTAGTCATAACTCATAACCACAACTTGTGGCCTGTACTCTGTGGGTAGTATCCGTACATTGTGGTTATAGCGTATTAAAATATTTATAAGACACACGGTTATAACTTATGACAATATAATATGTTAAGATATAATCACTGTATTGATCGTCATTCCTCAGCTACTATTTATATCATTGTTTTATAAATCTAAAAATGTATAATTTTAAATTAAAAATAAATAATAATTTTAGGAAGATTTTCAACCCCCGACCACCCCTGACCACAACTAGGCGCGCCACTGCCTAATAATTAATGATGGACAACAATATCGATAATTCGTAAAGATAATGATATTTTGGCAAATTTTTTAAATCGATATTGTTATATCGTGAACCAGTTTCTTATCTTAAATTACCTATGTAAAGCAAATTTTTGAATTAATAATTATAATTGATAATTATATTATTAATACTAATTATTAATTTGATAATTATATTTATTAATACTAATTATTAATAAGTAAGATAGTAGATAATATTTTAAATGTGTGTTTTCGATATTTTCGATACGATATCGATGTCGTACAACATACGGTATCGAGATATACCTAATATCGGAAAAATCAGACCGATATCGATACATAAAATTATATCGTTCATTACAGTAATAATATATGTAACACCATTGATTTTATTTCATACTATAATTATAAAACCTGCAATGTTATTGCTGAAGTAAATTCAAATCCATTATTCTGACAACGGATTTAAATACAGATAAATGTATGCAAATATCCTTCCATCACAAACGCTCACCGACACTATGTGATTATAATTTAATTGGCTCTAGAATCAATGTGGTGAACGAAATTAGGGATCTCGGTATAATTTTATCGTCGGATTTGAGTTCCAAAGCCATATAGAAACGATTTGTGCAAAGGCTTTTAGAAACTAAGGTGTTATTAAACGCAACTGTGTGGATATGAGTTACACGTGTCTAAAAGTACTGTACTTGGCTCTGGTTAGGTCCGTATTGACGTTTGGTTCAATGATTTGGAACCCTCGACAAATAGACTTAATCGATAAAATTGATAAAATCCAAAAAAGTTTTATTAAAATAATTGCCTTTAAACTAAATTTATGTAGTCTACCTATTGCTGAAGTCAAGAATCAATGTAAAATATCCCCTCTAGGTAGAAGGCGTGATTAGTCAAACAGTTTATTTTTATATAAGTTATTGAATGGTCAACTATACTGAGCTCTTGAATCTTATTGTCCTTAAAGCCCTCTCAGTCAATACTAGACATAATTCCCTATTTTATATTGCACCAGCATAGTGGTGTTTCTACGGGGGGGGGGGGGGTCAACAAAATATAACATTTTTTTTATACAGGTACATGCAATTTGGTTCTCCGTAGGCCTATCAGTTGAGTTTTACATAATTGTAACGATAATTTATCTGACTTCGATTTATTTTTCATGATAATCATAAGTAGGAAAACTATTACTTTGTTTTTAGTTTATACTATTATGTTACTAGTTTTTAGTTATTTATATAATGTTACTTCCAACTTATATATTATACTGTAATCTTTGGCCTAGAGGGCGTTACTATCAATAAATAAAATAAAATAAAAATAAAAATCATACAACTGTGGAAATGCAAATAATATTATTAAGTAGGTAAAACGATTATATTAATTGTACGGACGTGTTGTTCACAACAATTTCTACGTTCTGTAATGTCAATGTTTCTCCGAACTACTCGATGGTGAAAATGGAATACATTGGAACAATCAAGATTAATGTTTGTCATATAATATACCTACCTACGTCCTGTACGCTTTCCGATCGTAATAGTAGTTTTTTCTTTTCAATAATAGTGTGTAAACTATAGGTAATATTATCAATTATAAGCTGTTTAGTTTATAAAAAAATTTCAAAAAGTTGGTATTGAATTGAACAATTTGTATAAAAGCGTTTAAAAAAACTGCATGACTACCATCATACGCACTCAGAGGTGGTGGGGGACTTGCTATGACATTTGTCTCCTGACTTTTTGGACATTTGAGTAGATATATTATGATAAATTACTATTTAGCTGTAGTAAATTGAAAGTGGTTAAACAAAATAAAAGGTCACCGTTATAAAAATCCCTGTTAACAGTTAGGTAAAGTGTTTGTTATAACAAAGTTACACAAAGTACTGACAAAAATTAAACATAGGTCCAACCAAGTATATAACAAATCTTTCTGTTAACGTTGCGATCGTTGCTGCTGCTGCGTAATTTTAAGTTTAAAATCAAAAAAACCAAAAAAAAGATTTTGGGTTCGTCCAAGTCTTTTAACAAGGAAACAATATAGTGGTAGTGATTTAATGATTGACCTTCAACGTGATGACATTAATCTATCCGGAGAGTTGAGGTATGCTATAGTACCGTTGTATATTTATATCTAAAACTATGTAGGTACATAGGTATAATCTATTTTACTCAATTATTAATTTTTTTAATAGGTGTAATGGTAGTTTCAAAAATTTCCTACGTATGTCAAGTGCAGATTTTGAGTTTTTGATTAATCTTGTCGGTCACCGAATCGGTAAAAAAAACACAAATTATAGAGATGCTATACCAGTGAACGAAAGATTAGCAGTAGCACTGAGATTCTTAGCCACCGGTGATTCCTATCATAGTTTGATGTATACTTTTAAAATGTCTAAACAAAGTATTTCTCTTATTGTTCCCGAAGTTTGTGCAGCATTGATTGACGCTTTGAAGGATTATTTAAAGGTAAAAGCATAAATATATTACTAATAGTTATTTAAATAATAATAAATTACTTATATATTTATTATTTGTTTACTATATCATAACTATAATTTATAGTTAGAAATGCATAAACATTTTCTTTACACCTATTTTTATAGACATTTTAATTTAAAAATAGAATGAAATTCAATATTTTAACAAACAATTTAGTTTTTGTTATTTTGCTGTAATTTAAAAATATTGTTCAATTATACTTGAATTTTTTTAATTATATTATACAATATACTTACAATAACATTTTTAAATGCATTATTTTTGGCAAAAATTATTCAATCTACTGTAGATAGACAATACTAAAATAAATTATTTTTATAGCAAATAAATTTATCATATAATATTTATTAATATATTATGCTGACAGACCATCTTTTTTTAATTGTGATTTCAAAGGGAAAATATTTTTTTTCTAAACAAAATGATAAAACTATGTAGGTAAATGAAAACATAATATTAATTTTATTATAAATCAATTTCATATACTTTTATGATTAAAAAGAAACAATAGCAAAAACCTCTTTTGTGTTGAAAAATAATAAAAACATATAGTTATACAGAAAATAATAACTTTTTTTAAATAGAATTTAATACTTCATCGAAACTATCTTCTTCAATGAATGATGGTGCAGGTGTTGTAGGTGTGGTGAATAGGTTGTTTAGTTGAACTTGATGTGAGAAGGAATATTAGGCTTGATATGGCACACTACAGATGATTGGTACGGTTGTGAAAATATGGTACTGCGCGAGGGGGGAAATCATCCCCCCCTGCTTCAACTATTGTTAATTAATTTCTGGCTAATATTATATTGTCATGAATTAATGTGTAATAACAATTTACCCCCCCCCCCCCAACAATAAATTTCTGAGGGCGCCAATTGCAATGGTAGCTGTCATACATTTATTTTTTTAAGCTACTACTGGGTACTTTACTACTTTAGGATTTAAATAGGTATAAGTTTATGTCAAGATTTGAGGATTAAACTAGGAATGATAATAACACGATAATAAACGAAGTTTCCAAGTATTATAATATGTATACTGATGCAGTGATGTATTTTGCACTATTTGCAGCATATCCTTTCCTTCCTACCTCTCCACAACACTATTATACCTAACTATTCCTATCTATTTTTCCACAATCACACCATAGTACCATACGTATCAACTACTATGTTTGCTTCTATAATTAAAAATAATAACACGGAAAAGTGTCATGATTTTAATTCGTTTCAGATGGGGCTCCAGTCGTACTGCAAACCGGTGGTCGTCAACATCGAAAATCCTGTGTCCACTCAAATCTTGTATCTAGTGTCATTGCTCATAGTCGTCATATTTTTCTTGTTGTTGTTGAGGTGGTTCGACTTCATATCCGTTTTCCGATGAACCTGCCACGGCAGATGACATTCAACAATTATATTATATAAATATATTTTATTACTATACAATATACGTTATATATATATCTGCCTATTATGTTTTACAGTTTTATATAGATATATTGTCTGTTACTTTATGCACATATTATACTATCTACATATATATACTATATAGGTATAATATTTATCTAATATCTGTTATGATACCTATATTAATATAAGTGCAGAAAAATGTCTATATAATATAATATATAATATGGTATTAATATTATTTTTATTATTATTTTAACTGTTATTTTTTTTTTACACGACGTAAAATAAAATGTCGAATGTACAAATAGGTAAATGCTGTAATACTATTAGAATTTGTATTTATTTATCTATTCACCTTATCCTGAACTCCTTTTCATTGAATAATATATTTATATACGTATATTGTATATAGAATTATAGGCTACTAGCTGACTGGTTTATACTATACAACCACTAGCCATTGGAGTGGCAAAGAAGGTATAATCGAGAAGCTGCAACTTCTGAGTTTTTTAAGTGGTTATAGTAGTGGGTGGGTTGGTAATAACCAATAGGTAATAAGTTAGTATTTTAGTTGATATTAACTAGGTAGTATTTAAGAATACTTACTACGACAGGTATAGTTACAAATATAACAGTAAATTCCTTTATCGGGTTTTGGGTGGGTGGGAGGTGGGTGAATAATAGGATTATTAGACTAGCCTCTGAAAAGCCACTTTATAGAGTGGTTGCATAATATTGTATAGTTCTATGCATAAGCGGTATGTTGTGTGCAGTACCACAGGCTTTCCCACGGGTTGTGCCTGTAGTATACAGGCACACATCATCAAGAACAATATCGAATAGAAAAATAACACAAAGTACATAGATATCAGATTAGGGTGATAGTGGTAATAACCTTGTTATAATCATTTATGTGACCATTATTGACCACGCTGCAGAAAAATTAGCATATGTGATATGTGTTACCGTTTATTGTGATAAATTCGTTCGTTAAAAAAAAAAATGTAACTGTCCAAACTATTTATTATCAAGCCAGTTACAAGTTGTGCTTGTGAATGGACATTTTCCAAACTCACAAAGTCACAACCGTAAAAACAAAACTACAGAATACTATACATCTGCAAAAAATATTTTATGCTCTTATGTTATTGAACGACCACTGTACTCATGAATGTGAATTACAATACCCTATTATAAGTAATTGAAGAATTTAAAATGTTGATACCATCTAATTGCCGTTAAAAATTATAAAATAAGGATAATAGTTTTAAATATTATTTTTCATTCAACTTGGTTTTTTTTATTAAATATCAATTTTATATTCAACTGATTTTTTATTCTATTTAGATTTTTTAGATTTTAGTATTTTTTTTCAAGGGTTTCTTAATTTAACTTATCTTTTTTTTTTTTTAATTAATTTTTAATTAGTTATAATTTTTCGTTCAACCTGGTTGAAGTTTTAGTGTACGTTTAAGAAGTTTAAGGTTTAAGTCTAAGTTTTCGATTCTTTTTTTATTACATATCAAATTTTATGTCCTATTTTTGATTTTTTATCTAATATTTATTATTAAACTGTCTCTTTTTCCATTTTAGATTTTATTTATTCAACTGTGGTTTTGTTCTTTAAATATGTTTTTATTAAACTAAGCTTGTTTATCCGATTTAAATTTATTCACATCGGATAAAAATCTATACTTAATAAAAGAATCTATAATGAGAATAAAAAAATCATCATTCAATAAACAGAATCTAAATCGTATAAGAAAGGTCTACTTTAATAAAAATCTATGTTTAATAGTGGGTGTCGGTCTCCTGCACAGTAGGTTACAAGTGGGTCACTGTGATGGATTGTGTTAAATATGAATTCAATGAAATAATATCATTATATAAGAAAAAAGATTCTGAACAAAGACGGTCTGACAGCCTATAACAATATTACTAAGTATATTTGATGATTTATTGTGAATTAAGTAATTTATATAATATAATATATTATAATATAATATAATATATAGTATTTACGTGGAACCTTTTTTTAAATTTCCAGTCCTTAGTTATGAAAGTTGAATATCTTATAAATTTTCAACTACTAAATAATTATTAAATTTTGTCAAAAATCGATCTTTAAATGCTTATAAAATAAAATTGAGCCAATGTATAATATTTTTAATATTTTTCAACTGCTATTGTAACAATATATCAGGCGCCTTGAATTACATTTTTACGCTTTTTGGCCCAACAAATAAAACTTAATTAATATTCATATAAGGAAAAACTAAAAAAATTGAAATTTGAAAGTCTCTGTTGAAACAGTTGAATATTCACGAAAAAATTCACGGAATCTTATATATATATATCCTTAACAATTCTGTTTCTGTGTTTTTACATATATTATTACATTGACTATTTTGTTTGGTTTTTTTTATCGTATGTTGTACACTAATCTATATCTGCCATAACTTCGACGAATAATTGAATTTTTAATATGATACTATTTGTTTTCATATGTTTTACCACTTATACATATCATTTAAAATCTTTAAAGTTTATTTTATGATGATGCTATGTTTTAAGATGTTACACCTATAAACTTATGTTTATTAAATATTATGTAGGTATACGTATAGTCATTTAGACACATTTTCAATAAAAAAAAAAAAATACAGTGTTAACCAAAATGTTTTTTCGTTTACTATAAATAATATTTCTTTGGGCGAAAACCAAATCACTCTTTTTTGTGTTTGGGTAAAAAAGGTCATTTGGGCAAAAACAAAAAGGTCGATTTTGGGCGAAAACATGTACGGCCGATGTGTCGTGCGTTGGAAAACGTACCTTAGAGTCCGCTCGGCCACTCCGCCCCCTCATATAGTTAGTTAAGCCTGGTTAAGCTATACCTAGACACCCTATCCTACTTATTATACAAGTTCCTACGCCTTAGCAATTAAAATAAAGTTATTATGTAGAACAGTCCCAAACGCGCAATAGGTGAGTTGATTCCCAAGACCGACTTTACGTATTAGTTGATTCCCGGGTCATTATATGTTACGGTATACTGGTAATCTCATTACCAGATACCAATTTTTAAAAACAATGTGTTATATTAATCAGAATTTTTTGCCTAATTAGTAAATTTTTTAATAGTATTTTTTTACCTACTAAATTGTTTTACTAATAGTTTTTTAACAAAAAATTATGTGATTTTCAAAATATGAAAAAACTAAAAAAAACTGAAAATTTTGAGAAACTTGTCGGCCAACCTCCTTGTGGTGTTGCTTGAATTAGGCTAATAGGTTGAATATTTGACTAAACATTAAAAATAATATATAATGACCAGGGAATCAACTCCTACATACCTCTTAATGACGCGGGAATCAACTCAAAGGTATCAGTGCAGATAATCAGGTATACGGTAATCAGCTCGTAAGCAGCCCCCAAACGAACCCGTAACGTTGTTATAGTTATAAATATTATTTCTCAATATAAATCATATATAAATTATATAAAACTTACAGTTGTGCGACGGATTTTTTTTTTGAAGTTTCATTAACGTCGACCCATAAAACAGTTTTAAAAGTAAAAAATAAGAATAACTATACATAATAATTAATATACTACGTACGTATTAAAATGTGATAACCGATAACCCACCAATGCGATAATTTCCCCCTATAGTAAGGAAGACTGTTTCCTGGAAACGTATACGCACAATCAGTTTGATATACGTACCAGCAGTATATTATATAGCTCATATTATTATAATGTAGTCAAAACGATAATTTGTAGGCCGGGAGGGGCGGTTATTTTATCATCAGAGTTTATCACTCGGCCAGAGGCGTGTAAAAATAAGTAAGTACCTACCTAATGATAAAAAATAACGAAAAACGCTGTAATATTTTGTATATATAGCGATCGACGGTAAATTCCAGTTATATAATATAGACATAATTTTGTATCTGTCATCACCTTTAATGGTATATACTTACTAAAGACCTGCAAGGGCCGGGCCGGCCCGACCCAGTCCTTGAAAAGCCCAGCCCGTAGTGACATTGGACCGGGCCGGTCCTTTGAAATAAAATAAAGGGTTGGGCCGGGCTTTTTAAGTCTTGGAATTTTATTCCGGACCGGGCCTGGGCTTTTTTTTGTACAATTTTTCAGGCTGGACTTCGAATAATAAATTAAGAGTTGGACCTGGCTTTTTAAGGATTTTTCTTCGACAATAAATAATCACAATTTTAAATAATAAATAATAATGATAAAATCGACGATTTATATCAGATAGATACATATTGAGTATACTCTATAGATTGATACTAGATAGTACATACAATCACAATGAATATAATAATATATTAATTTGTGGGTATAATAAAGCTATTTATTGCTATAATAATATTATATTTTTTTTCGCGCAATATTTTTTGGACCGGACCGAACCTGGCTCGAGGATAAAATGTATGGACCAGACCGGGCTTTTTACGAGCTTAGCATTATTTTCGGACCGGGCGCGGGCCAGGGTTTTTTTTCACAGTATTTTTTGGACCGGACCGGGCAGAAAATGAATGGCCTTTGCAGGTCTATAGACTATAATACTTACCTATAAGACATATGGCATATATGTATATAAACAATGTATATTATCAATATATCTACAAAATTATATGACAGTTACTGATCATTTAAAATTTAAATATCAAAATAAAATAAAAATGCAATAATAAAATAGTATGAAATATAGGTACATAATAGGTACATATCAAATTTGAAATTTATAAAAATAATTTTTAGTTTAAGTAATATATATTATATTATGTATTAAGTAATATTATAAAGATATGTACCTATTTAAATAAAAATGTAAGACGGAATGGCCTAGCGGACTAAGACATCGGTTGCGAAGCGCACCGTCGCCGGTTCGAATCTCGGGCATAGGCTGCACTTCTCTCCGGGCAGAGATCTGTCTGGAGAATGGAGAGAGGCCACAGTCCCCCAACCGGGCATGGTAGAAATCTACGGATGCCCAATTGAAATTCTGTCAAACCCAAAAATCACAAGTGTTCCTTCCCCACAGTTTAAGATAACCACCAGCTAATGGCCGTAGTTCTCGGACTTTACTCAATAAAAAAAAAAATGTTATCAAGTGTATAATATTATAATATAGGTAATATATGATAAACATAATCATGTGCCTATACAATACTATGTACTATATTATTTGTTATAATGTGATGATGCCAAAATAATAAAATATGAACGATTTTTATTAATCGGTTGTGACGCACGCCGGCGCTGGTATCGAACCCGGCTGCAGGCGGCATTTTTCTTCGGGCAAGTCAAGGTGTCCGGAAAAAAGTGCCGCCATCCCACACCCGGGTATGCAGATACCTACGGGTGCCCACTAAAAAATCTGCCAAACACACACTTGTTCAAACAAAACCACAGTTCTATATCCCCACAGTTCCAAAGGCTAATAACCTCTGTAGTTGATTCCTCAACCCCACCCCCTTATAATATAGTAACTATTTTCGGAAATCTATATATTTCAAGAAATTAAGTACTACGGTGCAATCAGAATTTGTTGGTCGGACTTAATTCCTATGTTATAACCTTTTGAAGATTGCAATTTTGAGTATTTTACGTTTACCCAGATTATTCCACGAATCTACTCGAAAAAGTACATTTAAATCTTTATTAAATAGTATGTAATTATTTATTTTCATGTATAAATGTACCCTACTTACATTACAGATTACAAATAAATTACAGCGTACAAATTACAGATCACAATGGTTGGACTGAGAGGTATTTATAATATAAACCAAATTGTGGGTGGTTGGAGGTAAATGTTACAATCCCCCCTTCCAAACATGACCAAATAACGCCATTGCCGCACAATCCAGCCACATCAGCCCACAATCACACTTTGTTTAATTAATAATTATTATTTATATTACCCATAGAGTAATAATATAAAGATATGAACTAACGTATAGGTACTTGCTGGATTGTGAAAATGAAGCAACCAAAGGACAAATGATATCGTGACTAAAAACTAAAAATTGAGAGGTCGAGGGACGCCGCCGGTGGATGTAAAATATCGAAACCATTTTCTATACAAAATAAGCAGGAAAGGATGGTTTATTAAAAGATATAAACATGTTAAATAAAAAATAATATATTATAGATATTGTTTTTTATGTAACTAATCCCAATAAACTCTCTTATTGCCTATGCTAATGATAAAATAAAACTAATAATCGGTACATTGGGAGTCAAATAGTCCATATATTGGTGCTTTAGCGGTCTCGTTTCTAATGCAGAAGAGTTTTTAAAAACCGAGGTTATTAAGAGTCTAGTTATCCGTCATAATATAATATCATACATAACTATATTGTACTAGAAAGCGAACTCTTCGTATGAATTGAAGCATCAAGGTAGGGGGAATTGTATGTTATTTTATATGGCACCTAAATAAGATTAATTATGATTTATCTTGTATGTATTTTATTATATTTTCTATTGTTATGTTGTTTTTAAAAAATTAAAAAATATTATATATAAATCATTTGAAATTTAATATTTTATTTTATTTTACCATTAAAAACGATGTTATTCCGAATACATTTTGTATAATGAAATGTTTCGCCCCCCCCCGAGAAAATGGCGGCCGTCCACAGCTTAGCTTCGCTTGATAACAATGTAAATTATATAGGAGTACCTTATCTAGTTAGTATAGATATCTGTGCATAATATATAAATTAATACCAGAACGGGCTTGATACGGTAATCCAGCAGCAAGGTCTAGTCAGGACCGGTGTAAGTTGATAACTGACTGGGCAATCCACCTACAGCAGATTGGTAATTGGACCCATTATTGTACCATCGCTTGTCCGATGGTTTATGCCTTATGGTGTGTTTAAAAGTTTAAAGCCAAATATCGTCAGCTACTTAGCTATGAGTATCTGCAAATAATTTACGTGCAACTAATAACTAATAAGTCGCCTAGGTAGGCACAATAATATTATGGATAATTGAGAGCAGTATATTATCAGTTAGTGTCTCAACCATGAACTAGTTAACTTAGTTCATGGTCTGAACATTGGGACCAACCCACAGATATTTATAATAACTAGATACCCGACTTCTACTTATTAATGACGCTGGCAGCGCCATTTACAACTTGGGCAATTTGATAATAAGTAATATGATAATAAGCAACAACATTTCATATCAAACAAGCCCGTTGCCAATCAAAACCATTAGAATTTGTAAACATTGCCCAAGTGACAAATGGCGTCGGGCATCATAATTCAATATTTGAATATGCGGTCAACAATGTACTACCTAGATCAGTGTAGCCAAGAGTGGCCGCTGGAACTAATACTATTTAGTTTTATTAGTATAAAGTTTGGGGTCTCCAAACTTTTTTATTCAAGGGCTACAAAACATCAAATGCTCTTAGCGGGCCAAAAGTTTATTAACAGATATAATTTTTAATTTTATGATAATATAGGTACCTACCTATATAAATAATATGTTTACTTTATATTTTTGTATAAAATATTGTTTACTTTACAATATACTTAAATAAAAATAAATAGGTATAAATATAATATAATATAAATACATTTTTGAAATAAGTTTTTTATCTATATTTACCTATACGTCCTATGCGGGCCACGGGCTGGCTAAAACTCGTTCGCGGGCCGTAGTTTGGAGACCCCTGGTATAAAGTATAAACCTTATACTAAAACATCTATGAGACTAACCCAATATTGACCCCCACCCCGACCCGTTCCTATGGCATAAGTCCAATTCTTTATAGGTCTATGGTTTAAAACGCACGTTTTTATCATGGAAAAAACATTGTCAAGTGATGCAATCTACATGACTACACCATTTAAGATTCTGTGCGGAACGACGATTGTGCTGATTTTATATCATTTAACTCAAATTTAACACATCCATTAGAGTAGTTTCAGACAGAGCAGTACCGACTTGTTCGCCTTTTTAAGCATAATTTGAATTATTTTTTTAACAGTTAAAACAAACTTTAATATTTAAAACCAGTATAAACAAAAATTTCATGGAATAAGTGTTTCGTTGTCAAGAATTGCGTCCTTGATAAATGATAGATAATGTATGATGTATGATAAATGATAATAATTGTTGTGAAATTCAAAATTCAAATTAATAATTATTAATATTTTGTTATTTAAACTTTGTTAAAATGCCCGTGGATTTACAAAATCTCGTAGAAGGATGGTTGGAATTAGAAAGCGATCCTGGTTTGTTTACTTTGCTTTTAGAGGATTTTGGAGTGAATGGTGTTCAGTTAGAAGAAATTTATGATCTTCAGCAATCATTGGACAGTAAAGTTTATGGTTTTGTATTTTTATTCCGATGGATTGAGGAGCGACGTAGCCGCAGAAAAAATGAAGACAAAAAAGACATATATGTCAAAGATGATGTAGCTATTAACAGTATATTTTTCGCTCAACAAATGATACCCAATAGTTGTGCTACTCATGCGCTGCTGTCAATTCTACTGAACTGTCCAAATATACATCTAGGTGAGACATTGGAACGTCTTAAAGAACAAACTCGAGGAATGAATCCAGAAAATAAAGGATGGGCCATTGGAAACACTCCTGAGTTAGCACGAGCACACAATTCGCATGCTACACCAATAAGTAATAAACATATAGATAAAACTAAGGGTGTAACAACTGGACGGTGTATCAGTGAGGCATATCACTATGTCAGTTATGTGCCCATAAATGGTCATTTATATGAATTGGATGGATTGAAACCATATCCCATGGACCATGGACCTTGGGCTGATAATGAAAATTGGACTGAAAAATGTATAAAAGTGATAAATGATAGAATTTCAACGCCTTACTCAGAATACGGTGATATACGTTTCAATTTGATGGCTGTTATTCCAGATAAACGATTAGCTATTTGCCACAAAATAAATATGCTCAACACAAATAGAGAACTTACATTAGAAGTTGTACATACACTGAAGTTGGACATTGGAAAAAAAAAAAAAAGAGAGAATGATAATGATCAATTGCCAAGTAAATGTGTTAAAAAAAAAAATTCACTCATTCCTAGAACATCAAAAGACAATAATAAAGAAAAGGTAATATGATTTATTTTAATCTTAAAAAAAAAAAAATTATATATAACCTTGTTAGAGCATATTGTATAATTTAAATTTAACATACAGAATATTTGTTACTATGTGATGTTGATGTCAATTAAGCTTTCACAAAAATGTTCAATGAATTTAATCATAACATTATATTAGGTAATAATCTTCAATCCAGCTTGGGATGGGCAAGTTAGTCATTTTTTTCAACTAGTTGAAGTTAATTTACTTTAATAAAAAAAACTAACTAAGTTAGAGTATAAGTTAGTTTCTGAAACTGTCCAAATTTCTTACTTAGTTTGTTAGAAGTTAGTTTGGGGAAAACAGTAACTTAAGTTAGAGTAGAAGTTAGAAGTTAGTTTTTTTTATAGATTAAAAAACTTTTTAGTTGAAAAAAATAAAAATAAGTAAATATGAAATAAGTTATCTAACTTGAATTATTGATTGAAACTGAAAATTGAATTAAACACCCAGTAATTTGATCAAAATGTTCTAATTAGGTAAGTAATAATTTCAATTAATACAAATTAATAAATAATATAAACTATTTGAATTTATTAGAACATAAAGGGTGGAAAAAAATATATATAACAGTATGTCAGTATGGCAACTTAAAACATTGATTGGTTAAGCCACTCGTATAGATACTATTTATACCTAGTAGATATCAACATTCTACAGACTACACGGAAAAGCCGTGAATCCTGTGCGTGCATTATTATAAATACAAATAATTAATAATAAATATGAGCCAATAATCTATTTAGGTATATAGCTATAATGTCATGATTGAGGAAGAGCTTTTGGAATTTTGGAATGAAAAAAAAAAATAATAATAACTAGTCAGTTTTTTTCTAACGAGTTAAATTACACTATTTTACACATTAAATTCAACTAGTTAAGTTATAAAGTTAATATGAATTAAAACTAACTAGTTAAGTTAAAAAGTTACTTAAAAAGTAACTTTCTAACTTAACTTTAACTTTCTTACTAGTTGGTGCCCAGCTTTGCCTAATACTACTGAAACATACCTAAATTTCCTTAAAAATCAATTATAATTTAGGTATTGTAAAATCAGCTATTTTCCCTCATCAAAAATCTGAAATTATATTGAAATTATATTTAAAGTTAATTTATATATATATATTTGTTTCCTCATTTAATATTTAAGTTTTATAATTTTTCAGACGAGTCCAGAATCAAATAATATTGTAGAATCATCAACTGATTTGTCAGAAGGTGAAAAAAGTCCAAGAGACATGAAAAGTGTATGTCTAGAAACAGGAGCTATGTCTCAACAAAGGGAAATATCTTCAAGTCAATCTTCAGATGAAGAAAAAAAAAATGATCAAAAATTGGAAAATATAAAATGTTATCCTTTATCTTTTCAAGACCTAGTTCAATTAGTTAAAAATTTAGAATTGGAAATAAATATCAATACAGGTAATTTAATTTAACATACTAAAATATTCTTCAAGTTATATAATGTATTTAATATTTTTAGGTATCTTGAAAGAGGAGAATGAACAACGTAATAAATATAAAATTGATGATTGTCGACGTACACATAATTACAATCAGTTTATTAGTACGTTTTTAGCAATGTTAGCTGAACAACGTATATTACCTGATTTAATACAACAATATTTGGACACACAAAAACAAAATACAGGTACGCAGCTTTCACTTTCTGTACAATCTCAACCTACAAATCAAGCACAGGTGAAATCAAAATCTAATAAAAGAACTTCAAAAAGTAACAAAACGTTAACAAAACGCAAGACAGCTACTAAAAAATGAAGTAAATCATGACAGGTCATTATTTTTACTCAAGAATATTTCACTTGAGTACCTACCTAATGTCTTCATGTCATGTTGCTATACTCTGTTCCATCTAAGAGTAAACCACTTGGATGACCAAAACACATTTTAACCGCTCATTTCTCACTCGGTCAGGCACTGTTCGGCGGCTCAGTCTGCAGGCGCGAAAGCGGTTCACTCTTAGATGGAACAGACTATAGAAGTATAGATCTCTATAACAATTGTAGGTATTTTTTCATCTATAGTTGTTCTAATACATTATATTAAGATTATTAACAATCTAAAGTTTTTAAATATAATTAGTAATTTGTTACATGTTTAATGGTGTTGTTGTTAAAACAAAAATTACTAACTTCTTTTAAATTAAAGTCATAAATAATATATATGTACCTACTTCATTTGAAATAATTTGAAAGTTAGCTTAGGTACCTACATAAAACTAATATGTGCTGTAATATTGCTAAATTTACATGGGAGTTAATGATTAAAATTATAAATGAATTATCAGATTAAGTATCATCTCAAGGATCAAATTATATGAATTTTCAATTGTTGCTGTTAGAACATGTTAGAACTTAAGGTATTTTAAATTCTTCCATTTTTTTTTTTTGTTTCCATTATAATAGAAATACAAGTATTTGAAATCAGATGTTTCATTTAAAACATTATCTCTTATACTATTATTACTTTATTAAAAACATGTTGCTAATTTAGAAAATTTGTGTCAACAAAAATTCAATTTATTTATTTTTTTAAATATATGGACATTTTTTTGTATTTTAAATTCTAAGTGAGACTGAATTTGGTGGTTTTATTTCGTAATTTATTTCAAATTTTATTTTAAGACAATAAAATAGGATTATTGAAATCTTTAACAATAAAAAATAATATTTCAATTATAATTATCAATAACTGGTGCTTTTAGAGAAATTTGAAAGAATAAAAATATAATATTTTCATTAAACTTGTTATGGAGTTAGTACAATTAATTTAAACTTTATAAATGCTTAAAAGTTTATGTGAATCACAAATAATTTAATAAGAAATATTGTTTGAATATTTTATTTCTAATTACAAAAGTTACAAAATTATCATTAGTTCACAATCATAATAAAATTAATTTTATTAGTTAATTATTTACAGTATTATTGTATTAACTTAACCATTTGTTAAAAATTAATTAAGTTAAGGAACTTCAAGAATATGTAGTGTACATTAAGGGACTATCCATCGCCTACACTGTTTAATATACATATAATTATATAAACCAATAAATTATTTGAATACACACAGAAAATAAGTTTTCTGAGCAGATGAAACAGTACTTTTTGTTGAAGGCTAGTCCTTCAATGATGAGGTATTTGCTAGCGTACATTCCAACTTGAATAAAATCCAAAAGTGGCTGTGTGAAAATAAATTGTTCCTTAACTTAGAAAAAACCTACATTTTAATTAAAATAAGTTAAGATTAAGGAAGTATGAAAATTTAATATAAATGTATATTTTTCTCTAAATTGTATAATTTAAAATATAATGTATAGCTACTAAAATTGAACAAACGTCATTTGAAAATCTCTCCTCAGAATATTATTTTATAAATTCAATAACAATTGCTGTCATTTATATTCTATTACTTTTAATATAATATCATGCACGCCTCTATTACATAACCCACCTAAAATAGAAGCAATTAATCTACTTTATTAAATTATAACTATTTGGTATTGTTAACTCTATTAATTTGTATCTTATATCTAATTTGTATATTATATTTTTTTTTTTATTAAGGCTGTTGGAGCACACCGTATTTATTTTTTTGTAGTTTTCGACCAATAAGCAGAAAATTAGTTTATGTACTTCCCGATGTCCAATTATTATTTTGAAAATATGTATGAACTCATCATCTCCTTTTCTACCTAGGTTTTGTAGGAAACAAATTTTTGATTCTTGTATTCAATAAGGCTTAAAAAATATGTTAAAATTTAAAAAATTTTTTATTTTATACACTTACATTCAGTTTTAAAACATTAATTATTTTTCCTACATAACTTAGTAAAGGGGATGATGAATTCATACATATTTTTAAAATAATAATCGGACATCGGGAAGTACATAAACTATTCTTCTGCTTATAGCTATTTTATACCGATTTTAACAGTTTTTTTACGATAGCACGATAATGACCCAGATAATGGATTACACACACTAAGGTTTATTTACAACTACTCATACAATGACAAATATTTGCCAATAATATTTTTGCACGATTTCCTAAATTGTACTACTTAAAATATTCTATGCTCCAACAGCCTTAAGAAAATGTACAATCTGAATAAACAAATACAATAAGTAATATATGTATAAAAAAATGTGCAAGACTGATGGGTTGATTGAAGGGCCAGTAACGCTACTTCCAAATATTTCATATTTATGTGTTTATAAAATATATGTACTGTGATTAAATTTCTTGACAAATATAAATTATAACCTTATAGTATTATAGTGGTAAGACAAAGAACTGTACAATTAATAAAATGTATCTACCTACTTACTTGGCTTGCATTATTCAGTTGTCCATTTATATTTACACTCAATAATACTTTTATAAATAAATAATTGTTTAAAAATTAATATGAGTAGGTAATGTATAAAGTATAAAGTATAATGTATAATGTATAAAGTATACACCAACTAAAACTCATGTATGGGAAGATGTAGGTAGGTACCTTTCTGGATAATATAGAAATACTTGGTACCTAATAATTAAATATTTTTAGAAAAATAGTAACAGTAGTAATATATTATAACAGTATAACGGCATTTTACACAAAGATAAACAAATAAAATGTATTGATAACGTTTAGATTTTTATCTATAGATAAGTCTCCACTCAGATTTATGATATTATAATATTATGCAATAGGTACATTTAGGTAGGTACCCTTAGATCTAAGTAGGTACCTATACAATACACTAGAGAGCCTAGATAATATTATCTAGGCTCTCTACAATACAAGGGCCGCTTTCACCAAATACTTTAAACTTCGATTACGCTTAATCGACTGATAACAGATATTTAACCGGGCAAATTCGGCCGATTAAACCCCGGTTTAACTTTAATCGGAGTTTAAAGTACCTAGTGGTGAAAGCGGCCCTAATTATTTCACCCCACGGTGCATAATAATAATATATTCTCAATGTGCGAATGTGCCACGGTTTATAATATTATAAATATTTACTCAATAAACATAATATTAATTTATCATCCATACCTATTGGAATAATATTATTATTGATAGAAACCGTGATGTACCTACCTATCAAACTGTATTCTATTAAATATAAAATTATTTAAATAATGTGTTAAATCTTAATGCGACATACCTTCAAATATATATAAATATATTCAATATTCATAAAAACAAATAAAAATGAATACTAATTATAACTTATAAGTTACAATAGTATAAGACTACAATAGTAATTTATTTACATGCGATTATTTTAATTATGTACCTATACACTAGGGACTGGAATCTTTATGATTTTATCGGTTTCGGTTTAGGTGTCGGTTCTCAAAAATCTAAAATTTCAGTTCCGGTTCTTGTTTCGGTTTTCAAAAATATCAAGTTTCGGTTAACACCGGTTTTAACCCTTTATATTTGACTTTTTATTTTATTTTTAAATTTTATCAATTAAGTACTGTATAAAAAAATTAACATGTGAAGAACCTCTATTTAATGGCATTTTTTGTGTCTGTCATAACCTTTTAGGACAGTAAAAGTGCTTGGATTTTCTTCAATAGTATCTTTTATGATATGGAAGTGAATCTAGTTGGTACTTGGGGGGGGGGGGGTCAAAAGTAAAAATTTCCTAGTAGTTTTCAAAAGCGCCGTGAAAAACAAAAGAAAAATTAAGGAAAAACGGGAATTTTTTAAATATGTTTTCGAGAAAATCAATTTTGGTTTTTGGTGTAACTTTAAAACAAATGACCGTAAATACATGAAATTTTCACTGGTTGTTTATATTTGCATTTTCTATACGCGATAACATTTTCAAAATATTTTGATTTATTTTGAACTGTTTATGGACATTTTCAGTTTCCAATTTTATTAGCTTTTTTTTTTATGAATATCAATAAAAATGTATTTGTTGAGTAAAAATACTTGAAAATTTAATACAAGGCTCCTGCTATATTTTTTCAAAGGCAGATGAAAAATATTAAAAATCCTTAGTCACAATTTTTTTTTATAAGCATTTAAAGTTCAAAAATTGACAAAATATGGAAAAATCACGAATAAATTATTGAGTTAAGAATTCTTTAAAATTTTTTTTTTTTAAATCTAAGGTTTTAAAATGTAATACAAGATTCCTTATAAGATTATTTACCTTTATCAAAAAAAAAAAAAATATCTATAAGAAAGTCAAATTCAATTTTTAGAAGCGTTTGAAATTCAAATTTTTACAACATTGGATATTCACTCGATTTCTAATGTAACGATTTCCTTATTTTGTTGTAATTAAAAAACGAATGACTGTTGATACTTGAAAATTTCACTGAATGTTTATAGCATTTTCTATACACCATACAATTTTGAAAATAATTTGACTCTTTTTGAGCTGTTTATGGACATTCAATATTTACATAATTTTTCAATATGTTTAATTTTGTTTTCTATAAATATTATTATTCTGTTACCGAAAAATCTAAAAAATACATAAGCAATTTTTATTTTTATAGTCATTTTAAGTTCAAATTTGGATGAAATTACATAAAAAAAACCTAGAATAACTATTTTAGTTATTTGGTTGTGATTGTATAATATTATTCGTGGGTACTTGAAATTTCTAAAGTACCTACCTACACTATTATATATATCTATGATAGTATTAGGGTTTGTTGTTGATGTATAACGCGTTATAAGTACCTAATGGATATTGTGATATAATTAATTTGGAATTTATTATAGGTACGAGGTA